CATGGGCACAGGAGTAGGAAAACAGCGCTCGGGCATTTTTATGCATCTTTACTGAGAAAATAAGTGGGCAGGTTGCTATTGGCATCACCTATAACATGACAAATGGACACATGTTTGGACCCAGCAGCTCCACTTCCGGGGCTCTGCTCTACAGATATGCTGGTGTAAAATGACTTATATACAAACTTGTTTACTGAAATGTTATTATGAGAGACTGAGATGACCTGAACCTCTGCAGTGGGAGGGACTGGAGACATAACTGGCTGTCCTCCTGAAGCACCTCTGTCAGCTCTGGAAGCACACTGGAGACTCACCGGAGGCAGGCAGGGGGCCCCAGGTGCTTCATCCAGTGCGGTGTGACTGCCGTGCTAATCATTTTCATTATACACGAGGAAGCAATGAGATCTGAGTATCTCTCTATTGATGCTTTTCATGCTTATGCTCAGAATATCCCCAAGAATCTGAGTCTTCACAGGGGGATTGGGATTGTGAAGGTTGGGGTGAGGGCAAGGTTTTCCCACTGAGGTCATTCTTTGCATTTTCAATTCTGAAATAAATCATACAAAAAGTTATGGCACGCAAAGAGTTCTCCTATGAACACAGTTTACAAATTATTGATTCTAACCCTGCTTCTTTTTTACTTTTATGAGCACATGCTTGCAGCCCATGATGATGACATTCCCCGTGGGAACGCACACCCCACATTTTTCTTCTTGTTACCTCCTCCTTCCCCTCCCCACTTCTCTCTTCACCTCTCAGTCCCTTTCCTTTTGCAAAAGATCTACTCCTTGTTCCCTATCACCTGTCTTTCGCTTTGCTCTTTAATTTATGTGTAGCTTGAGTTAAGCTGTGTGTCTGATTTATTTCGCTTAACATTATGGTTGTAAGATGCATGCATTTTCCTACGAATCACCAAGTTTGTCGTTCTCTATGGTGGTGTAGTGCATACTGCATGGTGCGTAAGCACCACATTTCCTTTATCCATTCATCTGCTGATGGACATAGAGACTGCTTCCAAAATGTAGCTGTTATGAGTTGTACTGCTATAAACACTGTGTGCATGGATCACTGCTGTAACATGATGTCTTTGAGTTTTTTGGAAGACACTTAGAAGAGGAAAAGCTGGATCAAGTGGAATTTCCAGTCTTTGTTTTCTGAGGGCTCCATACTGGTGTCCATCGTGGTTGTACGGGTTTAAATTCCCATGGATGACGTAGAAGGGCACCTTTTACCCTGCAGCCTCGCCAGCATTTGTTGCTGTTGTTGTTGTTATCATTATTATTATTCAGCAGAGATGAGTCACCTGCTGGCTGAGGCTCTACCTTCCTGTTCAGAGCGGGGTCCCAGCCCCCCGCAGAAAGGAAACATGTGCCTCGATGTTACAGACAAATCACTGAAAGAGAGAAAACCACAAATGTTATTATGTTTGAATTTCAGATAGTACTCCACGCTCTGGCACAAAATATCCTGAAAATGCCTCCATCTCTCCACGTGACTCCACTCATCATTTCCCCGGCTCCTGGCTTGCTCTTGGGTAGTGACCCAGCCGCAGCGACAGGAGCTGAGCCTTCTTCATCGCTCCCAGGTTCTCCGTGGGTCCAAGCTCTTCCGCCCATCTGACAGCCCTGAAAGGCAGAGGGCTCACCTCCTCAGTGGATCAGCGGTTTCACTGTGACACCTGAGTGACGCCTCTCTCTTCAGGTGAAGCCCCCTGCAAACTCCTTTCAAACACATCCGCTTTCTTGTCTTTCTCTGAATTATTTCCATTCAGATTGGGCCTTAGTTAAATGTCACTGCAACCCTCATAATTATAGTGTAATTAATATATTGTATCCTTTCTTTCAACTAAGTCATACAAACATTTAATGAAGCGCCCATCGTAGAAGTTTGGAAAAGTATGCAATTTTGTCTGAAATGAGTTGAGAAACAAACTTTTCCTGCGTTTCTACAGTCCTGTTCCACAGCCAGAGCACACTGAAATTAACCCTTTAAACGCTTACGAGCTCCCCTTTGTGACCAAGTACTTAGACTTGTTGTATAATTGCACATAATTAGAAGGTATTACTTTATAAAAGTTAAAAACAGGTAGCTATATCTATTTCTAGATGAAATACAAAGCAAATAATGGCAATATATTAACAGTCATTGGCTCCAGGTGGAAAGGATTCATAAAATGGTTTGCTGTACTATTCTTTAAGCTTTTATGTATGTTTGATATTTCTCAATCAATAAAGAGCTGAAGAGGTTCTTGGTCCACTGGAGCATACATCCTATGGGGAGGGAGGCGTGAAGAAATGAACAGGTAAAATATGGACCTTGCCAGATGGATAAATGGTAGGAGTCACAGACAGAAAGGGGTGAGACCAAGCACATCCAAAAGCTTACACAGTTTATCCAGTGGCTAAGAAGTGACCCCTTCTGTGAAAGGTGCAGGAAACACTTGGGAAGAGGCCATTTGAACAGGTTCTCAAAGACGAAGAGCACACTGGCTAGAAAGATAAGGACGGTGGGAGGCTGAGTCCCAGGAGTGTAGCCAGGGCAGGTTCACAGTGAGAACGAGAGATTGGTAAGCTCCCCTGCAAAGCACCCCACCCAAGGGCTCAGGAGCTGGAATTCCTATAAAGCTCCACCTAATTCTAATGTCCTCCAGTCGTGGGGTGCTGTTCCCTGAAGCAGGACAGCCTTTGGGGAAGGGAATGGGGAAAACGACTGGAAGACACGTAAGCTGTTGCTTGGCAGGAGAAGACAGAAGACAGGGAGCAGGGCCAGGGACAAAACCCACACTTCGCAGGTGTCCTCCGAATGACCGCATGGGCCCAGAGAGTCTCCTGAAGCCCCACTGCCTCCTGGTCACCCAGTAAGATGTGGATCCTAATGTCTTCCTCTGTTCATGAGGCCAGGGCCTTGCAGTCCAGTCAGCTCCTGGAGGCCCCGGCTTGGAGACCGAGCTTCAACACTACGCTCCTGTGTGACGTTTAAGACCCAAACACAGCACCTCCCTCGCTCTGACTTCCAAGGCACTCGCTGATCACGCACATAGTGAACTCTTCCAACCTTCAGCGGTTGTCAGATATGCAGACCTTGGTCACTGGGAAGAAAATGGGGGCTAAAGAAGGCTCAATTTCTGTCAGCACTGTTGGGAGTCACTACCCAGAAGCACGCCACTGTACGAGAGATAATTAACACTGTCATGTTGGGAGACAGTGATTATTTATTAATTGCTTGTATGAGGCTCAACCTTTGCCTGTTAGCAAGATCTTCAGTGTTTAGGGGAAGGACTTAGCATCTTGTGTCAAATACCACTATTATTATTAAGGAGCCAAATAAAACAATGAATATTAAAAACTAATTTTTGTGAGTCACTTTATTCAGTATTAGATGAAACCTTAAAACCTAGTTAACTAAAAATAAGACTACTCACACATAAACTACTTTTTAAGGTGACCAAGGGTTTCCAAGTGGTTTAGAGATTCTACATTAGTATTTCTGTGGAAGTTTTACTCTTTAGCTGAATGCTTCAGTTCCTACAGTAGATCATTAGTTCTAATCATATAAAAACACTAAAAATGTTTGGCTTCTGTATATGATGTCATTTATATGGCTTTTACAAGCTCCTGACCACACTTCAAACATCACGCCGGGAAACATTCAGTCCACCTGTAGGTAGAAGGTCATCGTCAAATTGCAACGCCTCCTCCGGTTTCCGTAGCTTATGTAGCAGCCAGGCTAACTGCATGAAAGTCAACATTCCTTGATGATAAACCATGTGCCCACTGCTTTGTTAGGTCGGATAGTGCACCAGAGAGAACAAAAGGCCACACTTCTACACGGATCATTAATTAAGCGCAAAGAGGAAAACTATAATCAACAACAGGAAAGATTAGCAGTGGTTATTCATAGGGCAGCTGGATGACTTTCCAACCAGAAGACCATGCAGATGTGGTGAAAGAGATGGAAGAAGAAGAGCATAATATTTATTGGACCCAGTGGCATCTGACCAGGACTTGGGCTCATAATTTCCTAAGTGACTCAGCTGCCTTGCACAATCTGTGCTTGAAAGCCGTTTCCTCAAGCCAGCTCCAGAGCGCTCCACGCTGCCTGGCCGACCCACCTGACAGAGCCCGCCCGGCTCACCGCCACGCACTCCAGCCTGCTGCGTTTACCGCCGCGTCACTATTCCTATTTCATTAGAAGTCTCTGAAGGGCCCTTAGCACACACACACTGATCCATTTAATTTACCTTTTCCTGTAAGTCTAACTAACTGCAGGAATCTGAGCCACTAGCCCTTCTGAATTTCCTGTGTTATTTTGAGCTTCTTCAAAAGAAAATCTGGTTATGTGCTGAAAATAAATTCCAGTCAGGTCGTTATTCTTCCTTCAGGAAGAGGCTGAAAATAAGGGGAACTTAAAGGAGGAAAACATGGAGCAAAGCTGCTGTAATCCCCAGACGCAAAGTCTTCAGTGCAGAAAAGCGGATTCCTTTTCAGTGCACACATGAAAACAACCTTGAGGAAATAAACATCATGGCTTAACCAGGTTCCATCACTAAAGGTTGTTTTTCACTGTGAAGACCGAAGCAGGGACAGGATTCCCAAAGAACAGCTGAAGCAGAATTTGTTGAACCAAGTTTGTGAGTTTTGTTCACTGACACATAAACAATCAAACCAAGAAGTAGGAGAAAAGGTAATTTTCGGGGAGGGTAGTGTGTCCCACTCCCAAGGGCTCAACACTTAGTGGCTGATAATTAAAATTTACAGTAAAAAGCACAAATCATGTTCTTTCCTGGGAAATGCGCTGACTAGCGCCATTCATTTACCTTTGCTATGTTAATAAAATTTTAGGATGTTGTCACTAGAAGCAAATGTTTGGTTTGCGAACATTCCTGTAGGAAATAAACTATGTTTAGACAAAGTTTTAAAACAATCAGTATCCGGACCGAACATCTGATAAACTGTAAAGCAGGAATAGGCACTTTAATTTTAGAGTGATGATGACTTATTTCCTCTCATAGCAGGTCTGCGGCTTCTCGTTTGGAGGACCAGGACCGGCAGCCAAGGAGCTGGGAGCAGAGTTTGTGTGGAGCCTCGAGAACCGTGTAAGTAAGGAGCCTTTGGTCTCAGCCTCACGACCTCCCCAAACTCTTTTCTAAATCTTACAATTTCCTGAAGGAATTATTTACTTTTTTAGTAGCCAATACTGGGGCTTTGGAAAAGGTTGTCCTTGCATAGCAGCCAGTGAAGGGACTTGAGGAGGTTGATCCACATAGGAGACATTTCTGAGATTCGCGATGGAAAAATATTTTTAAGGATATAGACACTCAGGTTCTTTTGTATTGTCTGAGCCCTTACGGACATAGGCTTTCCTCACTTGGCTCCAGGAAAATGAAGGAAGATCAAATGCGATCCCGGCCTCTGTGTTTTCTCCTTCGCTTCTCCTCTCCAGTGAAGCTGTTAAGTGGCACAAAGGTTAATAAACAATGGAGAAGTTATTGTGCCCGTCTGCCAGGTAAATGATTCTGTGAATATTCCAGCCTCCACTGCTCCTCTGCTGAGAAGTCTTTGAAAAGTGAAAAGACTTTCATGAACTTCAAAAAAGTGCCATGGCTAATTGTTTAAGCTCCTTGGAGAAAACTCGGCAGTGCATGCACAGACCTGCTGTGAAGCTAGAAGAAAATGCTTCTCACAGGATGTGGCCTGCACCGTGCCCTGGTCCATACGGAGGCCGGCAACAAACAGGATGCTGAACAACGGCGAAGTACGTACCGGCTGTCCTGGCAGAGAGAAAGGGTTTGAATACATTAATGACAGTATTCTATTTCTGTAGACGTGAAAAACAAAGTCCAGCCTACGGTGCTGGTGCGTGCCTGTAATCCCAGCATTCGGGATGCTGAGGCAGGAGGATTGCCACCATTTCAAGGCCAGCCTGAAATGAGAACCTGTCTCAAAAAATAAAGAACAAAAAAATCAGAAACATTTGACAAATATCTTTTATATATTCTCTAAACATTCCAAATATAAAATCCTCTTGAAGCAACAGAAATTAATAAAATTCTAGAATCACCTTTAACTATTCCATGCCCCACAGATGTACTATGTCAGTTTTTGAAGAAATGCTTCATTTGTATGATAAAAAAATAACACAAAAAGAGACTTTTTTTCTGGTTATTGCTCTGTTGCACTCCAAGATAAAAAGAAGTTGTAATTTTATGCACTGCATAGATACTGCTTTTTGATGAATTTAAATGTGAAGTTTCTCTTACATTAACTATATGGAAATCAAGCCATGGCCTCATATTTGTGATTTAGCGGCGTAGCTATCACTGAGGAGTGTGCAAGTGTGGAGTCTTCTCTCCTTGGGAAAGATGCTCAGACTCACATGTTGAGAACGGGCATTGCCCTGGGGGCAGCAGATGGCCAGGAGACCCCAGGAAAGTGCCTTTAGGAAGCACACACATTCCTAACTTATCTTGGGGATCTTTTGGCCTCTGCATTCTTTGAAGGCAGCATCAAAGAAAGGTGAGAGGGAATCCAGCTTCCCAAGGAAACCCTTTCTCTCTCCCTCCCTCCCTCCCCGGCTCTCTGGGGCTTGCTGGGCCTGCTACCCTGATCTCCACCCAGCGTGGCTCCTGGGCTTCTGACAGCAGAACGTGGCTGGGCGCCCCTGCAGGCTCACCCCGTCCTCACCTCTCTGTGCCCTCCTTGGCTTCTCCTTGGGGCTCCTGACCCGCTGCTTCCTGTTTCAGCTCTTGCTCTGCTCTGTGCATTAGCTGCTCCTGCAAGGGAGAAAGACTCTGCCTCACAAGAGAAGGGTGCCGGGACCCTTTGGCTGTCCTCCTCCTTCCACTTGGACCTGCCAGGCTCCCAAGCTGCACCCACTGTGTCTGCGCCCAAGGGCCCGTTCACCACGGAGCCGCATCCTGCCAGCACCTTGACCCAGCTCAGCTGCCAGGGAGGTTGTCGGTCAGGGATCATTAGCTGCTGACAGCTGGAGCCCCCCAACCCCACAGCTGCCTCAGGTCTGCAGTGGTGTCTCTAGGAGCATGAGTACAAATATCCATTTCAGACAGCTGCTACCTACATGACCCAAGTGTTGGTTTTATTTATTTATTTATCTTTTGTTTGGTTGGTTTTTGAGACAGGATCTCACTATGTAGTCTAGGCTGGCCTTGAACTCACTATGTAGCTCAGGCTGCCTCAAACTCGAAGCATCCTCCTGCCTCAGCCTCCTGAGTGCTGGGATTACAAGAGTGCACCAGCATACCCTGCTAAAGGCTGGATTTGATGGAGATCCAGGTGACTGGAGCACTGTTTTGTGGGGCCAGCACAGGTTGCAGGGTCCTGAGCAGTGTCAGCTGTGCCTTGTGGCTAGTGTGTGAGCATTCCATGACGAACGTTGCCCTGGGGCTGTGGACCAGCTTTAACGTTAGTTATAGACACCAGTGCCGTCCCAGCTGCAAGCCCTTGTGCTCATCTCAAAACTTTTACCCCAATTCTGGCCTCACGTGCAAAATTCAACCTGCCAGAATCAAACTTACACATCATGCTTTGCTGGCCCCTGTGCTTTCCTCCTTACCCTTCTCCTGCACCATTCTCACACACATGCGCTCATTTAGCAAATGCTGTCAGGGTTGGAGCCAAAACACTTCAAATTCCGACTCAGCCCTTTCCTGCTTTGTGACCTCATGCATGTTTCTTAACCTCTCTGCCCTTCAACCCCTCATCTGCAAAACAGGGAGAATCACTTCTGCACCCTGGTTTAGTGTGAGGGTGAAAGGAGAGAAAGTTCCTGGCAGGAGGCAAAGGAGGAACACGTCCTTCCTCTTCTCCTGCACCATGGCTGGCCTCTGTGTGTGTGTTTAAAACAAGTCCTAGTTGACCATCCTACAAATACTCACCTGGTTCCTTAGGCAGTGGGAACATAACTGTGACAAGAGGAACATCGTCTCTGCTCCGGTGGACACATACAGCACAGAAAACAGACGTGAAAGAGTTAACAAGCAGTTGTGATGTAACAAACCCAAGGTTGACTAAGGAAGGAAATCACAGGATGACGTGGGGAATGGGAGGCGGGGGCGCAGACTGGGATCTACATCAGGAGTCTCCAGACCCTGACTTGTGGGACCCAGCCAGCTACACATTGTTCACTTCCTCTCTGCAAAAGAGAAGGACAAGCATCCAGAGGAGCTGTCGGAAACAGACAGCAAATGGCATGGCTGCAAGTGTCTCGGGTGTTAGAGAACTAACTGCTCAGTCACAGCGCGGACCGCCACCCCTGGCCCAGGATGGGAGCCCTGAGAAGTCCCAGGCACAAATGTGACATTTCCAGGTGGACTGGTCAACTTTCAGCGAACTAGGTATAAAATCCAGAATCCCTTTCTTTCATTGAAAGATAATTTAGATCTAACCGTGATGTTACAGGAAGCATTCCTGTAACTGGCTACTGATGAAAGAATAACTGTGAAGTTTAATAATACAATGTCCCTTGTTGTCTTTGGACTCATTATAAATGAAAAGCTATGCAGTGGAGAAAGGCCCTTTCTTTCCCATCAGCATGCATCTGAGATGTTATCTGCACTAGAGATGGAATTAAAACTACACAGAAACAGTTAAAGACGTATTACCCTCTGCAAGTGAAGTTGTCCTCACGCTGACCTAGATTAGATAAATTAATAAGCAAAAAAAGTTTTTACAGTGTTAAAAACTAAATATCAATGCACATTTGTTTAACAGCTCTAAATAGGAGTGGTTATTGTTGGAGTGATTGTTTCACTAATAATCTGTGTTTGGTTGTAGCAATGAATCAACACAGTTATGAGTATAATGGCAGTTATCTATGTGCACACTTCCAGCGAATATTCACATTTATTGTATGTTTTAGCCATTTTAGACTTTGCTTATTTACTAAAATTTCACCTTTTGTTTGATGACTTTCATTGTAAAGGCTTAATACTTTATTTTGAGAGTGTCTGTTGTTTCATTTTTCTGCTAATTTATTTTCATTGCATTTTATAAAACTACTAGTCTGGGATGAACTGGGAAAAGAGAAATCCACCGCTTGCCACTTGAGAAGCGTTTCTGCACGCAGGTGAGGGACACTGTCCAGGGCGGAGGAGATGACAATGAGAACTGTGGCCCCCTCTTCCCCGAAGGCCCCGAGAGCCACGGCTGCCCGTGTTTGTCCTTGGAACCGCCCCCGCGCTCGGGCTCTGCTCACGTGAAGCACGGACAGCAGCAGGAGCATGCGGTGCTCGGGAAGCTCTTCCATTTCTCTTCTCCTTCACATACTGTTTTTCTTCTAACTCCACCCGGAAACACCAGACATAGCCTCTTCTTAAAGATTCTGTGGTGGTTATTGTTTGGACCAGTTCTACGTGTGTCTATAAATACAGAGGAGGAGAGGAGAGAGAGAAGCAGAGAGAGAGAAAGACCACACATTGTCGTGCTCCTAAGCTGCCAGCTTGGTGCAGCAATGGGTCACAGCTTGGACTCTATATCCAACAGGCCCCGAGCGTTCGCCTTCACCTTTACCTTCACTTCTGCTCACCGGGTGCCTGGCCAGTGTTGATCATAGTGCAGCAGTGACTCTCACACACAGTTCCGCCCACAGATTCTGTCTTTCTCTTTCGTGACTCTCAGGACAGGTTTATTGAAGCCCATCCTTTCTGTTGGGCAGGAGCTTTAGGAGCATCCGTTCCTGCCTCAACCAACCACGGGATGTCCTGTGCAGACCGCGGTAGCCTTGGTGGCTATCCTACCATCCTATGTGGCCTGGGACTCTCTGTGTCTCCTGGTCACCTGATAGATGTGACCTCTCTCAAACAGTCTTCACATGGACTAATGACTGAGCCCTTAGGAGAAACAAACGCATAGCTCATCTCTGTCGTCCCCTGTGCCTGACAGTCACGGCTCCATGCAGAGGAAAGCCCAGCTCAGAGCAGTAAACAACAGTGAGAGGAAAAGCACAGTCAGTGTCAGCAGCACGAGCCCTGCCTCTGAGGGGGACCAGGCAAGCTCTCCTGTCTCTAGCGTCACAGCCCCCAGTGGGTGCAGAAGGAAGCGCCCAGAAATGGCCGGTCAGGGGCCACTCACTGCTTCCCCGCACCACGGGACTGCACCTTTTCTCTCTTAGAAAGTATCTCATGCTCAGAAAGAAATTATAGATTCTTCCCAACAGAGTGAAATAATTACCCTTGAAAATAAAGGATCAAACAATTCATAACTGTAGGAATATTATACTTAAGAATAAAGATCCACATTTCAGTGATATCGTGTTTCAAAAGACAATTTTAGAGTCATTTGAAAACAGCCCAGTATCTTGTTGGTATGAGCGTCTCCAAAAGAAACTTGGAGCAGTGCATGGTGATCAGTTCAGGGTTTATTAAATTTAAGAAACAGCTTCTCCAGAACTGGCTTTCCCCGTCATTCTTGTGCTTGACATCACTCTTCTCCCTGCCGAGGTCAGGAGGGCAAAGCTTTTTGGAGCAGGAAATGCCCAGGCGGAGACTCACAGGACCGACAGGCACTGGCTGCTAACGTTCCTCAGTCAATCAAACCTAAACCAGGTTGCTTTCATTTTTTTTTTAAACCTCATGTATTTTAAGAAAATTTAATCCACATGTGTCTTATTCATTTGCAGTGGAATCATGGAATTTTTAAAAACAGCTGTTTAATGTCCAAAAAGTCATTTCGATATTTCAGCTCCTCTTAGTCAAACTAGAGTGCGTTTCTCCATCAGAAACTGATTTGAGGATCAAAGGCTGAAACCCTACACCAATTCATCTGAGGTGAGTGTGCAAAGTGCACCCAGAGCTGTCCCTCTGGAGGGTGCGGGCTGTGGGGGTGGGCTCGCTCACTGAAGCCTGCTCCGCAGTCGGGTTTTGGGAGACTTTTGTCTGGAGGCTTTTGAAATGTCAAAACTCTCTTGTTTTTCAAAAGGCAGAAAGACAAAAGCAAATTTGAAAAGTGCTGTTGTAAAGATTTTCCATTTTGAAAGATCACTAAGTTCAGCAAGTATTAATCACTTGTGTAATATCATATCATCAAGGCTGTCTGTGGGCTCAGGAGAATAAAGAAAAGAAAGAGATTTACGATGTGAAGTTGGTTAACATCATTACCAAGGCAGAGACAGCCCCACTTCTATGCCTGCACGCTGGAGACCCAGGAGAGGGGATGGTCCGACTTCAAAGGCTTGAGGACAGAAGACAGTCCTCACACTGGCAGTTTGCAGACCCAGGGAAAACCTGACTTTTCAGGAAGAATCTAGAGGGTGGGAAAAGATCAGTGTTCCAGCATGTACTCCAGACAGGAGGGCTTCTCTCTTACGGTTTTTTTATTCAATTCAATTCAACTACTTGGATGAAGCCAACACATAGGAGAGAGGGCAATCTCTTTTCTCCACATCCTAGGTTCAGACATGCATCTCGTCCCAAACACTGCACAGACACCTGCAGAACAACGGCAGAACAATGGCCAACCTGGGGCACCCCACGGCCCAGCCCCGTTGACACTTAGAGTCAACTATCAAACACTGTCCCTGCAAAGCATCAGACATGGGAAACACGATGGCAAGTGTGCGCTTTGTTCTCAGGAAGATGCTAGTCTAGAAGACAGGGGCAGGCTTGTGAAAATGAGCTCTCCATGCACGGTGATAGAACAGCAGTGCCAGCTATGGGGAAGGGTGAGCGGGGGTTTACTCTTAGGGGCTTGGGAGGGAGGCTTAGGTGCCTGGTTGAAAAAAGTGAAAACTAAAATCTGTTTTTTGCTTTGTTATATAACTGCTATGTGGGTCAAATACATTCATAATGATAGTTTTTACCTACTAAGCTTCTGCTCTGTGCTTGGTAGATTTCTGCACAATTCATCTTGAATCCTAAAAAACTCTAAAGGATGCGTTACCTTCATCCTCTTCTTCACCCTTTTATAGCTAAACATAATGAAACCAGAACAGTTAAATGTTTTATACTTTTCTCAGTAGAGGTCGAATCCAGGGTTACTTGGTTGATTCAAAAGTTCTCATTGTTCCATGTAAGCTCTCATTCCAGAGCACTTAGGACAGGCTTTGCAGGTTACCCCTGTCTTGGGGGAACCATATTTGAATGATCACCATGAGTTTATTTTTGTGCTCCAATTGAATTTAAGAGATATTGTGTCAATGGAAAGTACTGTAAAAGTATAGGGACAAAGAGTACAAGATCAGCTTTGCAGGGGAAGAAAGGGTTGCCCTACTATCATCATGGGTATTGCAGAGGGTTCCTTAAAGATAAGATTGGGGTAGTGTAAGGGTTGTCGAAGGCCACAGCAAGGCCGAGTATTAGGAGAAGCCTGTGTGACTGGCAGCGTGGATTGGAAGACCATGTCTTCAATAAAGCAGGAGAAGCAAGAACTAAAGAAAAAATGCGAGTCCAGTAATGCCGAAAACAAGTGGTGATATGAAAGGTGGGTGGTGGCTCACAGAGGGATCTGATCTCACTTTTTTGCTTTACGACTTCGAGCTCTTGAGGTCTCTGCTCTGCAGACTTCCCCTCCTGTGAGTTATGTGGTTTCACTCGCTCATAAGCACTCAGTCTGCATTTGGACTTTTCCTTCCACAGCATAAGAGAGGGCATCTCCTATCAGCCAGAACCTTAAGTGCAACTACCTAGAATTTCATATTCCTGAAAAGTAGCGAAATATAACAAAACTCCTTTCTTTCACCCTCTCAAACGCCATCTATACTCGCATTCATCCCTTCATGAATACATTCGAATACAAGCATCTATGGATATACAATTTCATTTTGTGATAGAAAGAAGGAAAAAGGGATCAGTAGGCAGAGTGGGTGACACCTGGCAATGTAAACTGGAGAGGGGGTCACTGTGGGGGAGAGGGAAAGTACGGTTGAGGCAAGGATGGTGTGTGAGATGGGCCAGGTCAGCAGCAGTGTTATATCCAGCCACCTTCTGCTGGCAGAAAGGTCTCCAGCTCACGGCCCTACCTCTATCCAGCCTGCTCAGAACACTCTCTGCTAGCGCTTGCTTTCCTTTTCAATTCTCAGCATTTGAAATTGTGCAAGAGTGATATTACAGGCTTCCAGTCCATGGAGCTACAGGAAGTTGTTTGGGACTCTCGCAGTAGACTGGGAATCAGGAGCTCACATTTCAGTACTCTCCCTTGCTGGGTGGGCCGTGCTTCAGATGCCTCACTCCTATGGGCGGGGTGCTTCTGCCGGCACGATACCTGCCTGCGAGGTGCTTGTGGAGAGCAGTGTGTCTCTGGGAACAACCACGGGCACGTAGAAGACACTCAGCGAGGGCAGCGGGCAGCACTTACTACTCAGCAGATCACCACTGCCAGGATATGGGAGGACCAAGAAATGACTCAGCAGACCTTGGGTTTGCTTTTTTTTTCCTACAGGAAGAACAAGGAACAAGCGCTTCCTTGCTAGGATGTAATTTATGACAGCCACAAACACTATGTCTGCTCTGCTCTGAGCTGTGGAGAATAATCTGTTTTTTTCTTCTTTTTAAAAATATCTCTCAAATACTAACAGTGCTTTTCTCTTTTTATGCTCTGTATCAATGGGAAATTCATACTTAGCAAAACTGGCTCCTTTGTGATACTAAGAGTCAAGCTTTTGACTCCAATCAGTGAATGTTGGAGGATGACGTTGACCACTGAAGGCAGGAATAAGAGGATAGGGAGAGAGTTATTAGCTGTGCAGTAATCTATGTTCAGGTTCCACATGCCTTAACATACATTACATATCATACTGTATGTCTGTCTTATATTCTGGACCATACTCTGCTAACACTCACTGCCACTACAGAACTGATTCCCGTGTAACTTGTTTCTGCTATTTCTAGGTGACTATGGACCTCACCTCATCACTTACCATCTGAGCAGTAGTTTCTTATAGGAAACTTGGAAGTATTAATGCCTATCTCACAGTTATTGGGGATTTTAATGAATAATAACTATAAAATATTAAGTATTATTGGAATATTGGACTATGAGAATAATAGCCTACTATTAACACGCTTTGCTGCTAAGTCAGTAGATTGTCAACAATATCATTTTTAAAACCAGTTTAATATTTTGTCTACATGGTGTCCACATAAAATACTCACATATCTTTAAGAACTTTAAACTGCCTATCTTTGCTTCTTTGGGAGTACTCTACATCTTCTTTCTAATTTAAATGTGTTTATAATCTAAGAGAATTTGAAGGAGAAATCCTGACTGCAAAACAAGTTAACATTAAAGGAGAAAATAAGGGGGTTTTATTTATGAAGGAATGTCCGTGTAAAATTTAGATCATTTGAGACCCTGACTTACAGGAGGATGAGCCTTTGTAAGCAAGAAGTTCTTGGACCAAGCAGAAAGGCAAGAGAAACATTTCTCTTCTGTCATGTAAATGCCAAATGCTTGCAACAGTCTCTGGATCACCAGAATGCAGCTGGGTGGACCCCACGGCTCTGGCTCGTCCGGGCAGCCAACGCCTTTCCTCTGACTCCTCCTCTCCCCGGCTCTGCGGAAGGAGCTGGGCTCCAGTCTGCCCTGGAGAGGAACTTGGGGGCCAGGGGAGAGCGCGATTAAAGTCGTGAGCTGTTGGGAATCTTGGGTCAGTCTCTCAGTAAGTTTATATGTATACAGCCACCCATTTCTGCTACTGAGAGAGCCTGAAAAAAGGTAAATCATTAGGTGGACTCTGGTCATTAGAAAGCAGAGTCCACGTGTGCAGTGTTCAACAAGGACGCAAAGCAGAAACGTCCTTCACCACAGCTCTAATTCTTGTCCGTTATTATAAAGGCATGGCTAAACCCTGTAAACCCCTGCAGCCTGCTTCTTCAGGTTTGCCTTGTGTACAAGGGGTTCAGGAAATAAGTTACCACACCCAGGAGAGCTGGAAGACCTCAAGCACGCAGAGAGAGCCCTGGTTGGCAACCCTAGCTCAGGTGAAGAGAAATCTGGCAGAAACACTGCTGGGAGAGAAGGTGCTGGGGCTCATTCCTAACCCATGTCTGAGAGGGTAAACGACAAGCAGGGCTCCCAGGAAGAAGCGGTGTCCGAGATGTTTAACCCTCACCAGGCGCCAGACACTGAACTACATAGTCATTCACACGAATGAGAAGGTAACGTCTGGAATATGCTACATCATCTGAAATGTACTGAAGACAATTTGATTTAATCAATGCTAACAAAAGGAGTGTCTTGACATGGAGGGTGGGGAGAAGCTCTATTTTGATTGTTTGTGCTCCTACAGTTCTCTGGGGTCAAAGGGAAGTTATCAGTGAGAGGGATGCAACCTGCCTGTTCCCCAGGCCTCCCTGGACTAGGAGAGACATAATCAGGGGGTGGGAATCAGGCATTAAGGCAAAGTGGGTTTCTGTTGCTGTCAGGACCCTTCTGCAATGCTGCGTAACAAGGAGGTCCTTGTTAAGGACCACACCTGCACATTTAGCTGTCAGTAGCTAATCTGCTCTTGGATACGTTTACCTCAGGATGGAACAATGTACTCCCAACACATTTCTTTTTATATTGTACAATTTGGAAGGACTGTTTTATCTTTGTAAATAGGACTTTAACTTTCCAAATAACCGTGAGACTACTTTTCTACACCCTCACATTTATATTACTTGTAGTATCAAATAGTTGTTCCATCTGGTACTGCTCTTAGCTGTAGGAAGTAAACATGTCCAGATCGTCCTAGTGTTCCCTGCCTGCTAGGGTCGCTAGGCTTCCTGCCCGAGTGGCTACAGTTGGAGGGACCTGGCTGCCACTGGACACCATGCTGACCAGCCATCTCGGCTGGGGCTCTCTGCAGCACAGCTGACCCAGGACTTGAGCTAGTTTGGCAAACATGCGGCTCCACCCCAGGTGCTGACTGTCTGACCTGGTCACCTCACCAGGGCCTACGCCAAGCTCTGCTGAGTCAGAGCCTGGGTCAGCAACCTGCCTTCTAGCACGTCTTCCAGGTGTGTCTGGCCATGCTCAAGCTTGAGAACTGCTGCTCTGGATTAAACGCTCTTCAGAGCAGCACCGGATCCACCCTTGGCTGATCAGCAGGACTCCAAGGGAGGACAAAGGACTATAGCTTGGACAGGAATTTGTTGAAAGGTGGCGGCAGGAGTGAGGGAGATGGAATAAGTGGGTGACAAAATCAAACAGTGTGAGAGGAAAGAGGGAGAACCGGAGGCTGAACTGCTACAGTCCTTGGTCTGTGTGGTTTCGTGCCTTTGGTGAGCCAGGTGAGGGGATGTGTGGAGGGGAATTTAGAGACCAGTGTGGGCGTGGCTATAAAGTCAAGGCACAGCGAAGGAGGTGGGGAATGCAGCACCTTGGGAGGTGTAATTAGCAGGGGCTGGTGCTTAATTGAAAGAAGAACAGAGGGGAAAATAGGATGACTACATCCTTCCAGGATGGGTGACAAGGGAGCAGCAAGGTCACCGAAGGGTACATGAAGTGCGGAGGAGAGGCAGTTGTGCGTGACACATCCAGGCATGGGTTTGAGACGCCAGGGACATCCCCAGAGAGGCTGAGTGTCAGGGACAGCATATTTGTGTCTGACGACCTAAAGCGAGAACAGACAGGGGACTCAGTGGGGTGCATGGTGGGGACAGGGACTGGACCCCCTAAGAGTGTAATCTGAAGCTGAAAGTTTGGATTCTTTTAATAATTTTTGGCTCACAGATCTCTTTAATAATCTGATGAAACTGTTGGGTCTTTTAGCAGAGAAATGCTCTCCCAGGTAAAATGTTCCTAAAATCTCTGTTGTGGAGCTCTGGAATCTCCTCTCTCCATGTCTAAAGATCCAGGTAAGAATGTGTGGGTGCCAGAAGCCTTACAAAAACAGTAACAGCTCATAGGTTGGATAGTAAATGCTTAGTACATGTTAGGTGACAATAATAGCAAATTACTCACTCTTTACACTTCTCAAACTCTAAATTAAATCTTCTCATTTTAATATCTCTCCTCTTGGTTCCTGTTTTTCTTTACTCTCTTTGTACTACATAACTGTTGCAGTTAGGAAAAACAAAAGGAAACAATAAAGAAAACCAAGGTAAAGCAACTTGGACCTCTCTGCACATACAGGAGACATGCCTTGCTCTGCGGTATTTCACTGGCTCTGTTGCCTGTGCGTTAGATCCAACACGAGCATTGTGTAGGATGGTGTTTCTCACAGTACACTGGGTTTGCCAAGCTGTCTATAGGCATCACGCTTTATGAAACTGTGGTTCTGAATGCAGGCCTTGCACTTTAGGAATTATAGGATCTGAGCTTGGGTCTTGAGCCCTGAAGCCAGTTTCCTCATCTAGGACAAGGGTTGATGCTTCCTATGTTGCAGAGCAGCAAAATGCGATTAGAAAATTTAGATTCTGAAGAAATGTTAAGCAGAGTGGCCAGGACACAGTGGGTCATCTGGATTTTAATCAAGACCAGATCTGAGGAAGTGTCCAGGAGATCTAACAAAATAGTGCTAGATTGCTGAGCCATCCCACAGAATTTAACAACACAAAGAAACAAATACTTACCCTCCCTCTCCTCCAGCATGGCTTATCTGGTCGGGAGGAAAGGCTTTGCTGGGCGCCTGGAGTGTGAGGTGAGAAGCCTCCACCCCCAAGAGGCTGTGAGTGGAAGCAGATGCTCATTACCTGCCTCCCGCAGAGTGGCGATCTAAAGGGCAGCTGTAATTCTGTGAGTTGCACGGAGCTGGGCTCCAGCCAGCTGCACTCAGCTTGTCCTCCAAATGTATGTTAAATGAATGTTTTTGAAATTAAGTTTATGCAGATCAGTGGGCCACCTAGCGTGCCTGTCTGTCCCCATAGTTTTAGTGTGGCTAAAATAGTGGGGTGCAGTTAATGGTGGGAGCACAGCTGGGGGTGAAGCATGGGTTTCAGGGCTGTGGCTGCATGGACCTATCACAGATGGTCGCCTGATGCATCACGCTTTGCTGCAGCTGTGTTCTGGGGCTCCGGCTGGCTGTCATCGTAGTCGGCATTTTGGGGAATTGTTATCCCATTCCTAGAACCTAGGGCTGGGGGTGCTAAGGCAGCCTGATCTGTGATTCCTTCTACTTTTTACACTCCTGGGTATTTGGGGGTGAGGGTAAGAAAGAGCTTTAGGATTTAAAATGTTTGCATATTCACTTGAAAAAAGTTGTGTGGTTTCCTCAAGTTTGTGGAAGACATAAAGCCACAGCATCATTTTCACGGTTTATCTCGTTTCAGTGCTGTGCTATATTTAAAGGTTACCCCCCCCAGTAGTTGATCATTAGCATCCCCCTCCCTATGTGCCACTTCAGATAGTTATCTCTTCAATAAGTCAAGAGCAAATGCTCTGTCTCTATAGATTTTTTGGCAAATGCATGAAATTACAAAGGAAAGTGTGTTGCTTGTATTTTTAAAAACTGTTCTTTTGTCTGTTAGCATTTCTCCGTAGTTTACTTTTCTTTTTCCAGTGAAAACATAGCTACTTTACTAGTTATTTTCCTGTGCAATCTAGCTTTGCTGTCTTCTGACCACACCCAGTTCCGGTCTGCCCTTTGCCTGGGGGTGAGATGGAAGGGAGAGGACCTGACCTCTCTCCCGGGGAGCTGACCCAGATGACAGATGGGGCCTTACATTTCTGAAAGGGCCAGTGGCTGAATA